TTAAATCCAGCACTCCACGATAAAACTCAAACTGTTAAAAACAAAACAAAATGTAGTTCGCAACAACGCCATACGCCCCCCCCCCTCCTCCCTTCCCCTTTCCCCCTCAACTCGAGCTTTACAGTGTACTAACACAAGACATCTCAATGTGTTGTGTTATCATGTCCTATGTCTCATCAGCTTATAACCTGGCCAAGGTCATACCTAGCCGCATTTCTCTCGCTCTAAAGCAGCAGATAAGGCGAGGCAACTGCGACCTCTGTCCCTCATTAATCGTTACGATTTCTCGTCCTGTGTCAGTTAATAGTTCTCAATGCCTAGTCTCTAGTTCTTCACATCGTTTCTCCCCACAGTATTCAAGCAGATTTAAAATAAGATCAACTTGTGTGACTTTACTTGAACTTAAAGTGAACAGGTAAATTAAATATTGAAATACACTTATTGTGTCTATAATTCATTGAGATACTCTCGTGAAAAAAAAACGCGGCGAGGAAATAATTTATTTTGAGTCATTAGCTCTCCAAAGATTGTGTCATTACCATCTCGGTCTGTGTTCAAACGAATGAGCGTGTGTTCACGGTAAGTGCAGTGTGATTGATTTTTGTTTCCACTGTCTTTCGTTCACAGTTTTGCTTTCCGAGACTGGTAATGCAGAAAAGGAGACACTGTCACATTATAAAGGATACGTTGCCCATTGCTACGTTGAACACTTTGTCCTTCTGAAACCAACAGAGAGAAATTACAGATTTAAAACAAACTTTTGCATTCATTTCTCTGGAGTTCAAAGTCTTATGAACAGACTTATTCTACAGTGTGGTTGATAGATCTGATGAAAACACCAATGTCTCTAACCAAAACAAGAAGCTGAATACAAAAATGAGACCGAGTATCGACGTTGCTCATGCAGCCTTAACTGACTTTTCTATTCATAAGAGAAACGAAGAGAACGGAGTAAAGATCTCATTGCTTTTATTTCCTCTTATTTAATAGCATGTTAAATAAAGAGAGGGAAGACTAGAAGAAAGAACACGTTGTTTTGAGTTTAACTTTTCTTAATTCACTCTTTCAGCGTAGGTGGTTGGCGGGTGCTCTGGTGTGGTTTACTCCTTCTTTCCTATCCAACATCTACCATCCTTATCTCCCCCTCCTTCTTTTTTGTGTTTGTTATTCTCTCCTGACACCTCTAATCTTTGGCACATATGACCTAGTGTTGCAAGTGCCGTAAAACTCTTACTAAAACTTCCAGGGGCGGCTCGAGGGGCTAAAAAGTGGACGTGCACAATTAAGCTATCGTATGCTGAAAATAGTCAAGGGCATAGTAAATGAGACGGTATATAATTCTTAGGATCTTTGGGTTGGTGAGGGAGGACCTGGTGCTTTTATTTTCATTCTTTTTACTTGTCACTTTATTGGAACTGAACACTCAAGTAATAACTTTCACTTCTCCACTACAAAACCATTCAAAGACACAACTCATATGACGGTCACATTCACCTCCCTCAGGTTCACGTTCACAGATTCACTTAAAACAGTGGCAAGACAGACAATGAACAAATCACAATTCACTTGAGCACTCCTCTGGATTGCTCCGGGGCTCACATAATATTGGCAAAGAATAGCGTACGGTCTATCGCGTTTATTTTTAGACTGCCTACTGTGGGCTATGTTTCGGCACTATTCGGCAGGAGCACATTTGAGATGTGCCGTCTTATTAATATTAATGTACTGCCAAACTCGCTACGAGTGTCGTCATCGCTTGGGTTATCCCCAAGAGCGATTTATAGATCTGGTTACACTGTTGAATATCCTATTGTGTTTAGCTAAAGCGCGTGGACTTTGGAATGGCATAGTAGATGTTTTACGGCGCTATAGACAGAGAAATGACAGTTATGGCGCCAATGAGGACCTTGTTTTGATAAAATATTTGGCTAGTGTTTGTTTCTGGCTTCTTTTAAATTATTATTGTGGGTGTTTTACGTAAACACAACTTTTTTAAAATTTTGGGCGGCACCGCACCACCGTGCTCTATGGACGAACCGCGCCTGTCTGCTATTAAGGCAAGGCATAGAGCTCGCCATTCAGTGTGATGTTTTATTGTTTTGCCCCTCAGATTCACGCACGCTGTGCTGTCTTGTTGTGCACTCCATTTAATTGTTCTCTGCTGTTTTATCCTCACGTCTTTAATTAGGTCTTTTTCGTCTGATAATTCCTGTCGATTCTCATTCTCAGTTATACTGTTAAACACCAAATGGAAAGTAGAGAAAGGAGAATGGACTCACTGCTCACCAGCAGAAGTTTCAATACTTCTAAAGGTGAAAGTCACCCTGGAGCGTTATGTGCTCTGACATAATATGCGTGTTACGTACTCACTTTATTATTGTTTCGTCTCTGCCTACTTTCTCTTCTCTTCCTTTCTTTTTTGCTTTCTGATTATTCTGGCTTCTGTGCTTGTTTTTGTATACGGCATTAAATGTTATGCAGAATAGCTGCATTAAACAATTAAACACAAGCAGAAAAATATACACACGTGATGGCATTACATTGTTGTTGTTGTGGTCATCGATCCAGCAACAGCTGGACCCCCGCCCTTTTGTCCAGTGCCATATAGGGATAAGTGCAGGTTTGCTGCAGATGCTGTGCTGTTCCATTGAGTGTTTTGTCAAAGTTAACCCTACCAGCCCCATCCATTTTCGTGTACTCCCTAACCCCAGTCCCAGCCAATACAACAGTATTTCAGAAAAAAAGGCATGAATTCTAAAATGTGATGTAGTTTCTTTGTATTGAGGTTCAGATAATAACAAGAAAATGAAAGAATATTTAAAGGTAAATGAACAAATATTTATGAAAACTAAAGTTTAATTAGGTTCGCTAATTTCGAAAAATGCGCAAATTCGGTATTCCCCGAAACTGAGAATATACGCTCTTGGGACGGTGGGAGGTACAAGCGCTGTTGAAAATATACGCGCATGGTGCTGGAAGGGTTAATGTTAGATCTCGAATGGAGAAGTGTTGCTCTTGTATCATTTAGAGTGTGCGGTAGAACAGGTCATGGTCCACAGTTCCATATAATATGCATAGTCACACGAAAGACGCAAGGAGGGGGGGTTCTGTTTATTCTGTTAAAGTGGAAGGTGGCCTGCTGACCTGCATAATAATAATATGTTCTGTTTGCAGGCCGAGGTACATGGTCTGTTCCTGTTTCTGAAGGTGGTTGATAACAATAATTTTGCATTTCGTTTTGTTGTAGTCATCTCGTATGCTTGAAAACTACTCGGCGTGTCTTTCCCAAAACCCATCTATTCACCCAATCTTGTTTGTTGTTGCTTTTAATTATTTGTTATGAAGTTGGAATGCTGGGCTGCTCCTGTCTAGACTCTCTTTTGGCAAATGTGCTTGCTTTGTAATTTCCAGGTATATTTGAGTGTCCAGGAATCAACTACATCACCAGGGTGACACCAAAGGATGTTACCAAGTGGTGAGAGCCAAACAGCGTATATGTCAGATCTTGGTTTAGATTATGGTCAATTTCTACCGCTTGCAGGACTGATAATGAGTCAGTCAAAATAATAGTACTCGTGCTCTGTCAAGATGAGTGTCAAAATCTATGCGGAGATGGTACATATTATTATACAGTGCTATTTCCATTGCCATAATTTCTGCGTCATCGTTGTTGCGTTTCTCTCCACAGGCATCAGAGGTCTTATTGGAACTTCCATCTACGTACTGTAAAAGTATTTCATATCCGGCTCTGGTTGCGCCTTTAAATGCTAAGCCGTCTGCGTTGACGTGTATCCACAGTTCTGAGTAGCTGTCAATCGCTTAATATGATACAAGCTTCATCATTTTGTACTTTCACGGATATCCAAAACTGCATTATTTTTTCGGATTCTCAGGGGTTCCACATTTGTAATAGTTTTGCTTGCGGCAGTCGGTGTGGATCTCATGCCACAGATTATGAAAGGAAGGGCATTATTCTGGATCCTTTCAAAGGTGTTGCAATGGTTGAATTGCACACAGTAAGTAAGCTATTGCTGTATTCTAGGGTAGATCGGACACAACTAAGCAATTATAATAGAGCTCTCAGAGTTTGTCTGATCCCCCTGAACTGCTTGCGAGTTTCTATAGAAGTTGGAGTTTTCTCTTTGCCCTGTTCTTTTTGCTCTCTACTTGGCTTTCCATTGTTGAAATTTAGTAAAGACTGACTTCTACGTATAATGGCAGTTCATCTTTGGAAAGGGTTTCATTACTGATCTTTATATTGAGCTTTTCTTTGACTGTTTCATGGCTCTTCTTTGTGAAGATGGTGTATACTGTTTTGGTGTAATTCATTTTAAGCTTCCAATTTTCATCTTTGGAGAGGGTTTCATTACTGATCTTTATATTGAGCTTTTCTTTGACTGTTTCATGGCTCTTCTTTGTGAAGATGGTGTATACTGTTTTGGTGTAATTCATTTTAAGCTTCCAATTTTCATCTTTGGAGAGGGTTTCATTACTGATCTTTATATTGAGCTTTTCTTTGACTGTTTCATGGCTCTTCTTTGTGAAGATGGTGTATACTGTTTTGGTGTAATTCATTTTAAGCTTCCAATTTTGACAGTACTTGCAGGGCCTTTTGAGGTATTCGTTTCATTCTCATGGCTCTTACTACCATGGTGCAATGTTTCCGACAAAAGGCAAGATCATCAGCGTGGAGAGTTTTTTCGGTTTTCACCATGTCCATTACATCATTGAAGATCAAGAACAAAGTGCAACGTAAACAGGAACCTTGGGGTAGGCCCTCCTCGAGTAGGCTTACTTCCCTTGACGAATGGGCATTTTTCACTTTGGTTTTGATGTTTATGTATACTAAGAAAAACTTGATCTATTGCTAATACTTGCCGTGTATCCAGAACAAGGTCCATCAAGGCTCATGAGCAGGCCTTTTCTGCACACATTATCGTACGCCTGTTGGAGGTCTGTGAGGATAGCGACTGTGTTTTTTGTCTTTTGAAAACCATCCAGGATGACTAGAGTTAGTTTGAAAAACTGGCTTTCGGTGTTGATACCTTTTTGAAGCCAAAGTAGTGTGGGTTCAACCTGTTGGTGTTTCCCACGTACATGTAATGTTGACCATTCTCTCAGCGAGCTTACCGATGCAAGATGTTAGTTATACAGGGTGGGACTTCTTTGCTTCTCCAGGTAGTTTCCCTTTTTTTCAGAAGTGGTATAAACTGGGCACTGCCCCAAGTTTTAGGGTATTCATTCCAATTGTTCTCTACGTTATATTTAGTAGGCGACGTTAAACTTCTTTTCTAGTATGGCCAAGGTTGCATAACAGTTCACTGTGCGCTTTGTTTGGTCCTGAGGCTTTCTTTTGTTTTAACTTCTTATGGGCCTGAGTCCCGCCATGTTGACATCTTCCTCAAACACTGAGTTGTTTACTTGAGTCTTTTCTTTGTGTTTTTCATTGTTTATGACAGACCAGTATCTGTTGGCATCATTTAGTCTGTGTGCCCTGTTCACTGTCGCCAAGTGCCGGTTAAAATGTTCTGCTTTTTTCTCATCTTCTCAGGCATATGAATTACGCACCTTTACGGATCCGACATCCCCTCGCCCTGTCCCCGAACATGAGCCTTTCGAGATTACGAGTGAGGTGACAGCACTCTCATTCAAACCCCAGGCGACTTGGTACATTATTTGTGAGATCATTCCACAATTATGTTCTTATAGCTTCTATGTTTCAACCATCGCATTTAAAAGGACCTCTATTGGAACGCGCACATTTTCTTCTGGTTTCTACCTTCCCAAACTGTCATAAGGAATGTCATCTTTTGAAACATAAATCTTTACTGTAAACTGTAGGCTACGGGTCGGCAGGTTAAATTATTTTCGAATCATGCAAGTGTTCCCTTCAACGGTCTGTTTTCCCCATTCCATGTCTAACAAACATTCCGCCCCTCCCCCTCCAGATATACCCATGTTCACTCCCACCATCCCCTCTCATAGCGTCTGACGCTTTGGTCTATATTGTGATGTTAAGTAGATATTTCTCTTAATCGGATTCATTTATCTTGCTCAACCAGAAATGTCCACCAAGTTCGACCAGGGTTCCGCCAAGGCTTTGGAAGCCCTGAACTACAAGCTGTACCCGTCTCTCCAAGATGACGTAGAGACGATACGGGTTCTTAACCGTCGGGAAAAGGGGAGACAACTTGCCCTCCAGAGTCTCGTCATCGATAAGTTTGAGAAGCAGGCGGCTGCGAATCCGAAGAAAGAATTTCTCATTTTCGAAGACAATGTCTTCACGTACGAGTTTGTTGATCAGATGGCCTGCAAAGTGGCTAACATTGCCAAGTCCTGGGGTTTGAAGGCTGGTCAGAACGTGGCCATCATGATGGAGAATGAGCCGGCCTTCGTGTGGACATTTCTTGGTAAGATGAAGAAAGAACTTTCTGTTGTGTCTGAAGGAGAAATAAAGAATGGGTAGTCTACTCTTTTCCCCAATCGTAAGTTAGTTCTCAAAAGCGGCGTGAGTTCAGGGAAACAGATCGCATTAAAGCAAAAGAAGAAAGGGGAAAATTAAAACAAATACCGTTCATGTTGCATTGAATACATATTCAGCAGCTTAGCAGTTTCTCTCTATCTAGTATAATATGTCTTCAAGTTCGATACAAATATAGCCGCTCAGTTTTGATGTCATGTGTACTACTTTGTGCAACAGTTACTTCTTTTGTCCGATAATCACCGATGCATGGTTTAAAGTCAAATATCTGGGGAGGGGGTGGGGGATTCTGCTGCTTCAAGGCAATATTTGGTGAGTGAGAAGGGAAAGGGCATACTGACACACACCTACGCGTACACGCAAAGATAAAATAGCACACACATATGTACACACATATTATAGTCAGACACATAAATTCACATTCTAAACTTAACATACACTAATAGACATGTGCATTCACACACATGTGGCACACACATAATATACATACTTAAGTAGGCGGGCTGGCAGGCAGGCAGATAGATAGGTTGATAGATAGATAGATAGATAGATAGATAGATAGATAGATAGGTAGATAGATAGATAGGTAGATAGGTAGATAGGTAGGTAGGTAGGTAGGTAGGTAGGTAGGTAGGTAGGTAGGTAGGTTGGTAGGTAGATAGATAGATAGATAGATAGATAGATAGATAGATAGATAGATAGATAGATAGATAGATAGATAGATAGATAGATAGATAGATAG